TTTTAAGTGTTTTTTACCATTTTTAGGAAAAACAAAATAGCGGGAAAAGTCACATGACCGCTAAAGTTTTTATTTCTGATATTTATTACACATGAGTTGTACTATACACCATAACAAAATCTAGACGCCTAGACCCTCAGAAAGTGGTCAAACAGCCACTTCCGGTTTTATTTCAATCCAATATGGCTGCCAAACTAATTGGCCAATCAAAATTCTGAAAGCATGTTGCACCAGTTCATATTAGAGACTATCAGTATAGAGCAATTTAAGACTATTTGGTTCAGTGGTTTTCTCAAACGGCTTGACGAAAAAAGTTACGGAAGAAAGAAGAAGAAGAAGAAGTTTAAAGAAGAAAAAACCGAACAATAAGAATAGGGGCCACGCCCTACAGGCTTGGGCCCCTAAATATGTAGACTTGCTGTTTTTAACAAGAATTCAAAAATATCACTTTTCACTAAACATTACAAAAATAATCATCAAAATTAGATAATTGAAAATATTACCATGAAATTAACAAATCTGAAAGAGGTCCACAAGTAGTACCTATATATGTAATATAAAAGCAATCAGACTTGTAGTTTTTAACAAGAAGTTGAAAATATCACTTTTTAACAAAAATTACAAAAATATTCACCAAAATGAGAGAATTGAAGATATCATCATGAAATGAACAAATCTAAGAGAGTTCTACCCAAGGTACATACACACAAAGTATCAAAGCATTCAGGCTTATAGTTTTCAAGAAGTCGCAAAAGTATAACATTGACACGGACGACAACGACGATGGACAATCACTCATATGATAAGCTCCGCTTGACAAAGTCGACAGCGGAGCTAAAAATAGTGAGGGATGTCACAATGTAGGTCCTGTTGTCACAAGTTGGTGTAAAATTAAATTGAAGTTGTCCCAACGTTGGTACCACACATGCACATACACACATACATACAGACAGACAGACAGACCAACTGCAAAGACTCCCATTGTGTGCTTTGCTTCACGGAAGTCAAAAATCAAATTTGGTCAGCTTGTTGACTGCGGATAAGTGAGATCTTCATGAAAAATAAAAATTGTATGTTGCTGCTGCAAGAAACATTTGAAGACGCAAACAAAAATGTTGAGGCCCCTGATCTTGCCTCATTTTCATATTTCTAAAATGTGAAAATTATTTTAAACTAATAAATTTGTTCAACCATAGTAAGTTTTATAGCGAAGCCATTTTTTTTAATATTTTATTTTGCATTGAGACTATGACGCACCAGCGAATAGTCTCGTCTAGTTGTGTCACAGACATTATATACAAAAATAATATTATTACACATTGTTCATGTCTCGTATATTTATAACTAACTCTCACAGTACCGTGTCACAATATTGTGTAATTGATCAGTAAATGCTTGGAAAGAAAACTTGTCTATGACTCTCTGATGACCAGCTTTACCTAACTTGCTACTTAATCCACCATCATCTACAAATCTTTTCATTTTCTCGGCAAATTGTTTAGATTCAGGTGGACAAAGATAGCCTGTAACTTCATTATCTATGCTTTCTAACGGCCCACCACTATTAGCCGCGATCACAGGTCGTTTCATATACATGGCTTCTATTGGCACAATGCCAAAGTGTTCATTACTTGGAGTGTATAACAAGCACGTGCAATTATGAAGCAGAGTCAGCTTCTCTGAATCGCTGAAGGATCGTAAAAACGTCACGTTGTCGTTCAGTTTCAATTTCTCTGTCAACTGTCGCAGTTCTAAATAATGTTCTTTATTCTCCACAACTCTGTCATCGTAACCGCCTGCCATCACTAAATGAACTTCTCCCCATCTATCGTCTGCTAGATTCTTTTTCAAATCTCCTGATATGTGCAAAGAAATGTTGTTTTCAAATTAGAGAACAAATTATTGAAATAAAAGGTAATTATGTTTATATGATCTTCCAGGAAAGGTTTTAAAGAGTGATTTTTGTCACGCTGTGCACATGTACGATACAAATCCTGTATTAACCTTTTCACAACCAGTTTGATCTTTTCATCATGCTTACACAAAATAGTTCTGTTTATAGTCTGCATATTCCTTCAGAAGATTACGACAAAAATAGCCAAATTTTTTTAAAGTAGACCTGAAAATAGACTCAAATTTTGTTGGCTCCAAAATTAGTAAAGATTTGCTAATATATAGCAAAGTGGTGAATTATTTTGGTATCATGTGGGTGACGGGTGTGCAAGAGTTAACACGCCATTACTTTATTTTGGTTGTTTTCTTATATATTCCCTAATCCAATATAATCCAGTTTCGTGTGTTTTTTATTTTGTTATGAACACAAGAATAGATAAATTGCCCCATGTAAGTACCCTCTAAAACTTGTATAAATTATTTCTGATTCCTGTTTTTTTTCAAATAGAACCGGATAATATCAAATTTTGGATATGCTCCTGAAACAATTTCTAGCCTCATAACTGACATGAAAAATTGGTTTCCCAATTCAGGAACAATTTCATTCTTACCAAATGCTTCAATCGCCAATCCAAGGTTTTTCTTTCTCTCGTATCTATTAATAGAGAGGAACAATGTGCGAATGTTCCTTGGGATCAGATCGCCTGCATCACTTACTGGAACATCAAATGCGGAGAAATTCAACGAAGGATATAGTACTTGGGGTTTAATATGAGACAGCGTAGTGAAGGTAGAAGCAAACGTCTCACCTGAAAAATAATTTATAAAACTGAAAGAAGACCACACATAAAGTTGGGACTTTTTTTTTTTGTTTTACAAAAAAATATAATTGTCAATTTAGCTTTTTTTAACGTGATCGCGAAAACTAGCGTGACTGCGAAAGAAATCCCGACTGGACGCATCTGCAAACAAAAAGTCGCGACAGTCTAGACCACACAGTATGCAGCAGATAAATTTAAATATAAATTTTAAAATTATGAACAAAGTTGAAAACATGGCTCTAAAATCGGAAATCAACATGCCAGTAATCAACCACTTGAAAAATACTAACATGTTGGCCAGCTCAAACTCTTGCAAATCTCAGGTAAACAAGACACAACTACTGTATTTGGATTGCATCTAGAGAAATCACTGGAAAAACACCAAGATTAGAACATCCAAATACACACAGAATAAACTCACAGGTACACAGTCGCTAAGTAGTAAACAAAAGACCACATGTTGGTCTGACCCCTGACCCATGTGATCACGCCCTCAAACAGAAAAAGAATATTTAAAAAATTTCATTGGTTCTTGCAAGGCATATAAATTGAGCTATAAGCAGCCATTGGTTGATTAGTGGCATAAGAACATCACAGGTTGCATTAAAAAGATATTGTGAAATAAACAACTCATTTGGATACATGTTTGCTATGTGTCATGTTATAAGGAAATCGACATCAAGTGCACACTGCTGTGATGACTACTGTAGAATACTTTATTTTTGCTTGGAATTTATTTTCGCTATTTTCGCTGAAGGGATAATTCCGTGAAAATAAAATCCAGCGAATATACTTTTTTTCTTATATTTCACATTAAACTCATCAAAAATCAGTGAAAATAAATTCCATATAAAACGCCCAAAAAGCCTTTTCAGTGAAAATTAATTCCAACGAAAATAAATTATTCCACAGTATACCACCATTTTATTGCCTTATGAAAGAAATGGACGAAACTACAATTCTAAAGAGCGGAGCATGAAACCATTGTAAAACCATTGATGGTATGAACTCAGGCAGTACAGGACTGCATCAACCTCTATTGGTCAATACGATACAATCACGTACTTTGTCTTCTCAGAATACCTCAAATTTCATACACTATAGAACACGTTATAGTTTGTTGCTAACTTACCAGTGAATTGGCTATTGACAAGTATGCAGTCTGCCATTCCTGTAGTTTTCTCTTCCAACCAATCTATAGGACCACGATACAGTTTCTTCATGAAACTAATTCTCTTGGTCAGCAGTTGATCCGGAAAATGGCAATAAAATAGAATCTGCAAAAAAAATAATTGGTTATTTCTGTGAACGACGAATTAGGCCGAATTTTGTTATCGGTTGGCTTAATATAACCCCAACGGACCGTATTTTTGTGAAAGATTGGTATTTTTGTCCTGATTTGTAGGAATCTGAAAAACGCGTTTCATAACTTGTCTCTTATTTAGTTTTATGCGTCATTCAAGATGGCGGCCCCCATATAGTAAATATCGTATTTATTTTATTATCACGTGTGCGCCAGATGACTGTGTATTGACAGTCATTATTTACTGTGGAATACTTTATTTTCGCTGGAATTAATTTTCGCTGAAAAGGCTTTTTGGGCGTTCTTTATGGAATTTATTTTCACTGATTTTTGACGAGTTGAATGTGAAATATAGAAAAAAAAGTATATTCGCTGGATTTTATTTTCACGGAATCATCTCTTCAGCGAAAATAGCGAAAATAAATTCCAAGCGAAAATAAAGTATTCTACAGTATCAGTTGTCTTCCTAACATGTAGATTTTGTTTCTTTTCCTGTGATGGCGCCCTTTGTGTGGGCGTGGTACAAAGTCTAACCACGGTGGACATATACAGAGCATGCGCGACACCAAATAACAAGTACTAGTACACTGAAAACGGCACTGCAACAGTCACCAAACGACTTTGAGAGTATAGATACTGCTGCCTCTTTAAAAAAACTACCAGTAGTATAATAATATTACATGTACTATAATAACTCACCTTTGCCTTGCGAAACTTTAAGATTGGAATACAGGCAGAGATCTGGTCACATATTACGATATCGTAGTGCAATCCACTAAAACACACCAAATATAGAGCAACATACATCATACGAATGTATGCACACAGCGCATAGCACCCACCAAATATACTACGAGGCAACCAATCTCCAACGCACGTCACCGACAGACTTCCATCTTGCGTTTCTTTGAAACAATGACTGGGATCATGGTGGGCGGTGAACAGTTTGACGGAGTGACCTTGAGATTTGAGTGCCAATGCGGCGTCGACGACAAGACGTTCAGCTCCTCCAATCCCCAAATCGGGGTGCACAAAAGCTACGTTCACCATCGCCAGGATTACTAGATGGTGCCACGTCGTAGATTATTTCAACATTCTCGTCAGCGTCCTACAATGCGATGATGAAACATGTCACGTGTTTGCTCAGGGGTCATAGTTCAGTAATTCGTACTTCCGGGTATTTATTTGCTAAAAAATGAGTGATATCAAAGGATATATGAAAAATGTAGTAGAATTCACACTATTTTTTCTCATTAAAGAATTGTTTTAAACCATATCAAACTATAAATGTTATGAAAGCTCATAATTCACACTTATTAAAAATCAATGTTACGTTAGATACAACCTCCATGTGGCCAACTGACTACTCAGTAATTTTTTTTTTTTTCATTCAAATAGTTGAATCTTTGGAATGCGCGAATTTGACAAAAATCGACAAAGATCTGATGAGTGTTTGCTGAGTAGTATTCATTTGATTAATCATTTTGATGTCACTGTAGAATTAATTCAATGATATAGACTACTTTCCATATCAATAAATGAATAGGGGAGTTGCTGCAATATTTTTTAAATGGTCGTGAAATCTTCAGTGACTAATGTTTTGACACCCTGTAAATAATATATGATAGGTAAAAGCATCTGAAGATGTCTTAAAACTATTTCATACTCGACTGTGTGATTTATTAACCATTTTAAAGCGGGGGGGGGGGGGGTCGTCACATGCGCATGCGTCAGATGGCCATATCGTGTCATTGTTTACAAACAAGCGTCTACCCATGAGCGTTTTAGCGCGTGTTGTTATCGTCGCTTGGGACTCAATTCCCGCGCGCGCGCAAATGACGACCCTCCCGCTTCAAATACTAGTACACGGGAACGTGCAAATTTGATCATCGCAACAATGCGGGTTGGTAGTTTTGACCACTGTTTTAAACATCTTCATTTTTTTATAGAGCTCTGAAATGTTCATAGAATAATTGTACATACATATAGACTCTATAAAATATGAAAATTTCATTCTGATTAAAATAAAAAAAAATCCACTATATCATAAATTAAATATAATCAGTTAGATTCTGATATTTAATAATTTACTTTTCGGTTGAAAAATACGCGAAAAAAAACACTGTTCACATTTTTTTATTTTTATTGTTTTCGTTTTGTTTACATAAGCTACATTTGTCTTTGTATATTCTTTTGCTGTAATTCGTGTTTCACAGAAGTGAACACCGTCGATCGTACACTAGATTCTACAGTATAGGTTGTTATACTTTGCCGCGTGTTCACGTGAATATACGTACACGTTCTATTATTCCATGGACCTAAAAAAAATCTCTCCATACCTCTAATGTATTAGTATGAGATCAACTATTAAAGGTAGTCCATTTTATTTGTTTAAGAACATATCCCCGCTAGCATCTAGGTTTAACACACAAATGTCCGCGTTTTATTTCAATTTCAAAGGGCGTTTTGTTTGTATTTGCAGAGTCTTGTGTAATAGTAAAAGTATGGATAATATATACATTGCCCTGAAAACAAGGTCCGTCACCAACTTGTTATAATAGAAACATTTTCCCGGTTGCAAAAATAGAAATCTTAACGTTTTTTGTGAAACTCAACGAGACATTGCAATATACATGTCTGAACGTTATGACGACTAAAATAGAATTGATTGACACTCACTAGTTTTCATTCTCATCATATAATTATTGTCATGTCAGTGAATTGACCCTGTCAAGTGGAAACCTCCGCTGGGATCGTAAAAAACTGGTATTATACGACTTGTAAGCCAATGAATTGGCCAATTGACCCCCATAGCCTACAGTCAAGCCGTAAAATTGAACACGCGCTGACGTCATGATATGGCGTAACAAACACTCTTGAAATGTATTTGTTAAAAGTTACAAAGTATGTTAAAATGTACATTTGAAATCAAGATTACATTTATTTTTAGTAGAAAAACCGGTGAAAGATGATCGCGCGGCTTCATATTATGGTTTCTCTTTGATCTATTGTGCCGCGCCACCGAATGCGTCTTGATATGCAAATGAGTTACCCTCAGAGTGGACTATTCCTGTGTTCAACCGGATTCGATTGAATACCAGTACAGGGAGCGCGGTGCCGACCGTAAACACAATACGAGTTGTTTTTCACAACATCGAGTTTAACTACCGTGACATCAGAAAAAAAAATATACATGGACAGCCGGCTATCTGATCGTCGTACAGCAATTCTATGTAATCTCAGAGGGTACTGAAAGTGACAAGTTGGTATAGTCTGTTAGACCGAAGAGCGGTTGTGTAGCGTACCGGCAGACACACATCGGATATTGTTAGATCTGCACAAGTTATCATGCCGAAAGATAAAATAGGGAAAGATAAAGGGAAATTGGCGACCCACTGTAAGTATATGCAGCAACATATTGAGAATTGTTATATATTTTGATTATGCTTATTTCTATTAATAACCATAGCAGACAGTATCAGCTAACTTGACAAATTATCAGACAGTTTTAATTGGCGACTTTTGCCTCGCGGTGTTCTCTGTGTTCCCCTATGTTCTCTGTTTAACCTTCTAAAATAACACTGTGGCCCAGGTCACTGTAAGCATAATACATTGAAATGGTGAAACATGTCACGTATTAAGCGGACGTCGACAGAAGAAAACGACTGAGTTATTCTTGAAAATGAGTGGTGTCTAGAGTTGTTATTAACGCACCAATTCATATTATTACGCCATGCTGACGTAACAAAGCGCGTGTTACTTTTGATTCCACAACTAAGTATGAACATTGGAGGTAATTTACTGTATGAAGGAATGTGGTGCCTATAATTTATTTAGCGTCGCAAGTACCCACGTTTTCAACTACTTGACAGGTGATTACTCGTTTCCCCGGTTACCAATGTCAACTCATTGTGATAAGTGTTGAAACAAGGAACGTTGCGATATATTACGGGGTATTAATGTGAACTTGCCTCCCATGTCTGCACGAGTTGTCATCGCCACACATTGATACCGTTTTAGCGAGGTCACTGTGCATGTTGTTTTGTTCTTTATCGCCCTGTTTCATTTAATGCGTTTCTATACATAAAGACAATGTGATCGTTTTGCGCTAGTCAATGACCCATGTAACTTTGAAAGCGTGCACGGATCGAAGAAGTGTCCGCGACAAGGTATCTGTGGGGGTAATGTGTACTCAGTGTAGTTCTTACATAGATACAATACACAATATACCGACGGAGAGTTGGAACAATAGTAGAGTATTGTTTGAGAACAATAATAAATGACCAGAAAGTAATCGCTTTTAGGTGACTGGTATTGCTATACAGACGAGCATGGCCTTTCAGATGACTGAATTGCCTGGTTACGTTAAAGCAATCTGCACAATACGAAATTAGGGTAACCATGACAGGTCTACTGCAAACACTCCCATCGTTTAGTTCTGTATCCTGAACCTCAATGCTGGCTGTGACGCCAAAAAAATGGTAAAATGCCACCATGGAAACGAACATGCCTTTGTATGTATATATAATTGAATACTGGTAATGTGTATGCAATAATTGTCGCTAGGATTAAGTTCACTGCCTATTCACTGGATTTTAAAATTCACAGATCTATCAGTGAAACAATGAGTTATATTGCTGGCGTGGCATGGATATTTAAACTGAATGATTAAGCAAATAAAAGTAAGTGACTACTTTACCGGTTAGTTAAAATGCTCTCAACTTGCTTTGTTCAAGTTACCCGCGATCCTAACCGGTCACAGTTCTTTTACTGGCCTCGTCAATTCCAAATTAATCAAACTAGATTATTTTATCTACACGAAGCACAAATCTGCATCAAAACAGATGTAAACGCGATATAAATATACGCTTTACAATAAAACAGATTTTAATTATATTGCACGAAGTATATGTCTTCAAACAAACCGAATTAAACAGAAATATGATATTGCCCTATGTACATCGTAATAATAATTATCTTTATTGCGTTCTTATCCTTATTAGGATTTTGAATAAAATGCAATACAGATGTAAATAAAGACAAACAAACAATTAAAGTGAGAATAAAATAACACACAGGAAAATTTAAAAAAAATGACAAGCAAATAAAAGTAAAAAAAAAATAATGGTAAAGTATTGTTTTCCATATTTGTGTTGGTGAATGTTTGGTTTACTTACGCATGTACATGACCTTATCTTGAGATAGCTGACTATATTGTTTTTAGTTTTTCCTCTCTTGTTTTGAAACAGTTCTCTATCTATTTTGCTATTTGTATTAGTGTTTTCTCATCTTTATGTAATGAACATTGTGAACACCACACCCGTGCAATACTTGTATTGTCGATACATGAATTCTATATATAATGTCTACGTGTAATATTCACGTGACACTACACATGTGATAAGAACCGACACGAGGAAAGTAAAAAATCTATATATGACTGTGTTGACATGGAAACGGTGTTACCAGGCTGACTGGCATGTGGGTGGTTTGAAATTTATTGCCATGATTTACTTTTAGTGATAACAATCATCGTGTGCAAAGAGATTGAATATAGGATTGAACATATCGTTGCCAGGCTAGTCATGCGTCTATATAAAAACGAGAGAGATGTTTGAGGGCGCTCCTTATTATGCTGGACGACAATCAAAACTATTTCATACGACGTGGCATCGCCCTTGAAGACCAAATAGTCTCATATTCCACAATTATAATATATTTCTGTTGTTCGAGTACCGTGATTATACTAGTTATTTTTTATTTAAAAATAGAGATACTATCGTCAGCGTTTGCCAGGTAACTAGTCAGACTAATAAACCATGACACCATGAGAGTGTAATTGCGATGCCCGGTATAACTGGTAAACCATGCACCTCACTAAGCAGTATGTTTTGTGACGTCGTCACCCATGCCCAAGAACAGAAAGCATTCGTTGAATACGTGTTTGTTCGTGGAATAAAAAGCTGAAAATGTAAAAATAGACCATTTCGGAACTATTGAGAATCCATTTCATCAACAATTCCATTAATTATCGGAATATGCCAATAATGTAACAATAAATCACGTTAATTGGCGTATGATGTGTTCATTTAGTTTCAAGACAGGTTTACCCGATCAGATGTCTTTTATCAGATTAATCTGTTCACATAAACCGCAAAATCTGATGTCTCATATTTTTTAAAAATCGGACGCCGTACTTGAACTTTGGCGTGCGATTAATCTGATCTGAGTACCGTTAATCTGACCGTGCCTGATTAAATTTTGGTGAATCTTGGACAAGTTCAGTCTCATCAGATTAATCTGATGCGATAGATCTGACCGTATAAACACCTATTTAAGCAAACAAAAGATGTACACCCTTTCAGCATGGACATCAATAGTAAACACTTTTTTTCAAGTGTACACAATGGGGCAATGTCATTAACAACCGTAAATTACGCTTATATAAGTTTGATTTTCCGGAATTAAAAAAAAAATCCGGTCACCAGGAAATTTCGAAAGAACGTTCGAAACGACATAGAAATTAATTTTGTAGGGGAAGTTGCTTTTTCATATTTCAAAATTATGCTCAGAAATACATGACTGAAAAGGTCATATATTATTATTGACATGATTCCTAATAATGTAAAAAAAAAATACATTTAATTTAGTGTATTTCCAGTGTGACATTAATTTTTCATTGTATATACTAAATGGGAAGCTATCACCCATGATGCATTGCATATATGAACGGTAACAATCACGTGGGTAACAATTGAGAAAAAATTGAATTGGACTCCAACTTGTTATTGTTAGCGTCTTCGTGTTATCTATCAGATGTACTAGTATTTTATAAATAAACTGGACGTATTAAAGTGACGATTTCAAGGTCACGTGATGTGTATCGCTGTACATTGACCAATGCAATTGCTTGTTGATATTTCAACTTTTATCGCAATTCGTTATCATGTGTAAATACAGTTGCGGTCAACAACTTATACACACGACCCCGTGCGTTCTCAAGAAGCGACTACAGCCGTTGTGTTTACAAATGTAAACTCACTCTAAGTGAGTTAGCTCACTGTCACGGTTTCTGTTAACTTGCCCAGTTTTGTTTGTCGAATTTGTTCACCACTTACCAAATTCTTAAATCAGTGGATGCTCAGAGAATCCACTCAACACCCGTGATTTTAATACTCATGCGCATACAAATTACTGAATGACCCTTGTCATCTGACTGGCCATGCTTTCGGAATGCCGACATATCAACCAATCAGATAAATGTAGATAAATTTACTTGATTTTTACAATGTGGTTTATTTGATGTTGTTGTAAAACCCATAGCAAAGTATTTAGTAGTTTTTACACAAAATGGTTCGAACTTAGATGCCAGCCATTCACCTGTTTTGTAGTGAAAAGATCTCACAATTGTGTTCATGACTTATGGGGAAACGCTCACATTTATGTAGTTTTGATAAAATTACTAGTATACTTACAGTTATCATGAATTATTAAGAAATTAAATTAAGAAATATTAAAGATTAATATTTTTATGAAATAATATTTCGTACTGGTTAAAAAGTAACGACTTGTCGTGTGTTGAAATTACTAGGTTAAAAACGTCGAAACAAACTATATTGTAATTATATTCCCAACGATAAAAAAACTAAAAAATGCGGCCAGAACAATAATGCACATTCTTTGCCACGTAAGCAATGCGCGTTGACCGATTTTATTTTTTGTTATTTTAAAATTCTTTGTTTTCAGTGGCATGGCTTTCTTCAAGTTAAAATCAGCAAACTTTATTTTGGCGAGAAATATCCAAACTATACTATGCACTTGTGCATGCCGTTTTGAAGATGTTTTTTTTTTTATTGTATTACAAATCCTTATAATGCGGACTTTTGAGAGAAAAAAAAACTTATTTTAGAGAAACTCCAGGAATATAAACCGTCTTCTTGTTCTGTTCGAACGTCTTTGATGATGTGTTTAGTTTAGGTGTAACCTTCAAAACAACAGTGTTTTCCTCTGCCAAAACACTGTTGTCTTGTCCTCCAGTTTGACCTTTATGTAGCTGACGGTCTTTTAAAAAAATACCCCTTTTTTGGTTTTGCGAATTTTGACCTCTCCGCGAAACTCACATGCGTATCCCCCAACGACCACGAGATTATGAATACTGAATACGAGTTCGGTGGTGGTGGTGGTGGTTGAGTACAAAAGTATCCGAACGAAGTTTATGTTTTTCTGTTTTGTTTTATTTTTCGCGAGAAAAGTACATCCTCTGGGGTGCATTCAGATGTAGCAACGGTGCATTTCGTGGTCAGCCACTGTGTACAGCATAAAGTCCAAAGTGGTCACCAAAGTGACCGCAAGTTTGCGAGAACATCTGGTCCATGGTTGAATGCCAATGCTTGTTCT